AGGCCACCGTCTTCCTTGTCACTGTAGGTGCAGTACCATGGTAATCCTAGTAACCCAGTTCTGAAGCCTAGGGGCCTAAGCAGTCTAGGCTATTTTGTCTGGATATGTGAGTGCTGTCTAAATTGCAAGTAGCAGAAAAATCAACCCAGATTGACTTAAAGATGAAAGCAAATGTATTGATTGGCTAAGTAACTGCAAAGTTAAAAATTGTAACTGTATCAGGTGAAGCTTGATCCATAAACTCCTACCATGTCCTTAGCCCAAAGTCAAAGTCAAAGTCAAAGGCTGTTAACAATAAGGATAATAATAATAAATAAATAATTCAACTTATCTGAAAATTTTAAACTACATAGTAGAGGCCATGGTAGAGAAACTGGTGCACCACCAAGTACAACTAAGCAAAATATTAAGTGGCATTATGTGTAATTGGCTAAGTTTTCTAATAGCAGCATTTTATATAATATTAATGACAAGTTAGTTGCTTGAAATATAAACAGCTGCATTATTTCCTTACTCTTAATGGCATGTTTTCAGGGACTCTGATAGCTAAATTGGGATAGAATAAGAAAGAATTTTTCATCATGTATGCTTAGCTTTCACCATGTATGTAACCTCATATGACTGGCAACCTTCAAATTATACACAGTGAATATTGAAATGCATTTGAATATTCTGGAGTACTGTCAGTACTGTTTTTCCTTAGTTTAAAATGTGGAAGTAGAAAAGCTTCTTGTCAAATGTTGCTTTCTAGGCCACTGGTGAGTTGTGGATCCTTTCTGCATCACCTCTCAAAGGTTATCAAAGATTGAGATTAATCCAACCATTTGGAGCCAGTTAGTTATACTATTATGAGTTACACTTGGTGGATGTGAGGGAAGGAGCAATCAGATCCTTTCTCCAGGAACCAGTCATACACACCAAGAAAAGTCCTTCCTAAGGAAAGTTGGCTAAGGAGCCTTGAGTCTTCCTTTTCTTTCTACTTGTACTATAGACCAGGTGTGATGCATTATTTCTTGGAGGAGGACAGCCTGTGGCAAGCATGAAAAGGGATTATAATGGCCACCAGGGAGGGACTCACTTCCTATGAAAGAAAACAGAGCCTTAGCGAACACTATGAGCCAAGCAATGGTCTCAGGAAATTATATATATATATATATTTAATCTCACAACAACCCCACCATAGTGGCCCTCATTTCATGAATGAGAGAACTAGACACAGTAACTGTAAACTCAATAAATAATCAGCTGAGATGACTCAGAATGGACCCAGTATGCAAATTGTCAGTAGACTGCTTTGACAGTACACAAGAGCTCAGAGAATTTGCTAATAAAAACTAGAGAACGCTTCTTCACATGTGGTTATATGAACTTGGTTAAGGAGTGGGGAGTGATGGGACAAACAAGAACAGAGATTTGCCATGAAATATAATTAAAATATGCTGCTTCTTGATTTCTAAGTTCTAAGTGATTTAAGCTGACTCGTAGTTTAGATTCCCAATGGACCTGAGGTTGGATTTGGGTTTAACGTTTTTTTTTTTTTCTTCTCCAAAAGGAAATGACTCCGGGTAAAGATCATCATAATTTAGTTAGACATAAAATAAATACTTACATTCTTTTTATTATTGTGCTTACAGCCAATTATTACATAAGGTATTTTCAATAGATGGATAAAAATTTACCATTTGTAATGGTTTATATTCACATTCAAAGAAAAACCACCAGAGGTTTGCCCGAGACTAAAATCTTTTGAAACAAATTTGCTCTAGAAAAAGCAAGCCCTCTCCATGTGGGGGTAAAGAGAAAAAGACATTAAAAAATGTAGACCAAGTCAACACAAGCCAGTTTCATATGTGACTTATTAATCTGCAGAGTAAGTGGGCAGGTATGGGGGATAAAGGCCTGCCTGTTCTCTGTCAATTCTGAGTCCTCAGGGTGGCTCACCTCTCCAAGAGTTCAAGAAGTCTTCTTATGTACATTTTAGTAATAACCTAGCTCTCATAGTTTATAGCTACCACCACTACCACCCCCAGACTCCAAAAAGGAAACTCACTGTTCCTAGGCTATTTGATAAGACAACTGGGTTCTTTTCAGTGGTACTAAGTAGGGTTTGAACTTGGGGTCTTTCATTCTTACCACTGGAGCCCTCATCTGCTTTAGTTTAGGGTAGACTCGTGTTCCCCCCCCCCTATTTTCGCAGGCTGGTCTCACATTGGGATCCTCCCACCTCTGCTTCTAGAGTAACACTAGAGCCACTACACCTAGTTTGATCTTTAAAAACTAGTTCTTGCTGGGCTTTTTTTTTTTTTTTGGTTTGGGCCAGTCTCAGACCCTATGTCAATCCCCTGTCTCTACCTCTCAAGTAGGTGGGGATTACAAGTGTGAACCCCCTTTCCCAGCATTAACTGCACATGTAACATTGCTGAACATGCTGGCACAGGCCAATTAATCCCAGTGGCTCAGGAGACAGAGGCTGGACTGTGATTTTAAGTTAGTGAGACCCTGCTAAATAGGTTTCAGAGCTGACACTGAAGGTGATTCAAAAGGATTTGTTAGTATAAACATCTATAAATGATAAAATTTTAAAAAACTGACATGAGATCTGGGATGAGAGAACTTCTCAGGCTCACATTATTGTTAAGACCTGAGATCTTAAGAGTCAGCCATATACCCTTCTGTGCTTGGAAGATTCAACAGAAATAGCGTTTCTGTTTAATAGCTGACTCCCACATTGATCATTTGGTGGACCTTGGCAGGGATTCTCCAGTCCCAGGATGGAGTTGGTTCATCCCAACACACCATAGCCACCGTAACAGCAGCAGTACTGTTTGAATGCACATTGCCATCATGGACAACGAAGACCAGATGTACGTACTTCAAATTGATTTACCAGCTTCAGCAATGTTTTGATTACAGAAAGAATAATGTTTCCAAATTCCTAATCACTATCTGCCTGCTCTGCAGCATTTGGTGGAGAGTTGGGTTTTAGTAGTAAGTACCTAGGTCTGTGCTCTTCTGGGGAGCTCTTTGTATTTCCTCAAAAGCTAGGTTAGCAAGGGGAATTCTCATGTGACCACAGGAAATGCTGACTCCCTGGGGAGACAAAAAAACAAACTTTACATCTATGTATGAAGGGGCTTTTGGTGTCTGCGTGTCCTGAATATAAAGGTGGAAAGCATGGGCAAGTCAGAGGTCAAGGAAGCCTCTGGTAAAAGCACCATCGTCTCCCAAGATCTTACTGCCCAACCCATGGAACAGTTCCCTTCTGATCTGGAGTCTTAAGAAAAGGGATTGCAATCAGGAACAAGTGATAAGGAGGGAAGCAAAGCCTGCTTAATTGAGGGAGTTTAACTATCAACCATCAAAAACCAAGTGCGTGGCAGAAAAGTCTTCCTGCCAAGATACAAGAAAAGAATCCTTCTTAGCAATGCTTTAGAAGAGGAAATCTCCTGGGCATGGTGGGACACACCTGAAGTCCCTGTTAGTATGCAGAAGTAGGAAGTTAGTTCAGTAACAACAACAAAGATGGGAGAATTGTGTGAGAGATGTGGCTCAAGTGACAGCACAGCTGCCCAGCAAGCTAAGAGCCTGGAATTCAATCCCATCATGGAAGGTTCAACAGTCCCTTTACTCTACAGCTATTCTCATCATGGAAGGTTCAACCAGTTCCTTTACTCTACAGCTATTCTCATCATGGAAGGTTCAACCAGTTCCTTTACTCTACAGCTATTTGTAGGTCATCTTGCTAAGAGGCTAAGATAATTGAACGATAGGTACCAAATTTTACCTGATCAACAAGCAAGTTTTCTCTTCCATATTCTACCAGTTTTAGCCTCTCTCACTAAACACAGCACATTTCTCATCTTTAAAAAGGAATGAGTAGGGATAAACCAAATAGAATGAAATTAAAACAATTTTGGGTCAATTTGTGTAAACATTTCAAGTATAAAGTAAAATACAGGCAAAGGGATTTAACTTCCATTTAATGCATTCACTTACACATAAACGCAGCATAAAAAATTGTTAAGTTGCACTTTAAACAAATTGAAGTCAGAAATACTAAGGCTGGATCAATTTTGCTTTAATTTCTCAAATATCATTTATTTTCTGTTTCCTTTTGCAGTCAGAACATTTATATAACACACTTGCTTTAGGACAGCATCTGTAATTACAAACAAAAATGTGCATTCACAAGCCCTTAAAACACCACTTAAAACTAAATGTCAATGTCAAAGTTCTAACTTTAATAGTGAAACTTCTCAAACATTCAATGAGAATCATTTCACTTCTACAGCTGACTTTACAAAGATCTGAAAATAAAATATAGTAAAATTATTGCTTCCAGAGTTAAGTTGGCACAATCTGTACAAGACAGAATTCATATGAAAACAAGCTGTACCAAAGTAGTTACATAACCAATCTTTATCCCTAGTTTTCTGACATTTTATTCACCTGTAAAAGCTGAGTTTTACTTTAAAACCAAAAGGATGGCCTTCAATGAAGATACTCAGATTTTATACATGTTGAGATATATACAGAGGATACTACTGTGTTTAACCACAGGAATGATTTTTTTTTTCATGTTAAGCAGTAAAATGTTTTTTGTAAAAAAAAAAAAGATCCTTAGTGTGAAGTTCCGTAGGAATACTACTTTCCTAGTAATAAAAAAATTCAAAATGTAAAACCAAGAGTATTTTCAATACTAAAAAAAAAAAAACAACATTTATTTTACAATCCCTAGAACTGTAAAACAGGTATTTTGTGAGTTTACAGAATCAAGGGAAGTATTCTGAATGTCAAAATATACACAGTGAATGTGATTTAGTATATAAGCACCAAAAATCTGAGGAGTTTACAAAAATGGGTGAAACATAGGTGGTGAATTTACTTATGAGTTACATTCACTCAGAGGGAAGAAACAGTCCCCAAAGTTCTTTAGTATTTAAGAAAGAGCTGAATAATTTCCAAATAATGAACATTGCTTTTCATTTTTCTTATACATACAAACCATCTAAAACGTAGGTTCAGAATTTAAGCACTGCCTTCTTCTGGAAAAGGTAGTTTAATCAGGTTGATCAGTCTACACTCTGGGATACTTCATAGACAAGAGCTGTGTAATACTCACACACAACAGGATGATTTAATGCCCCAAAGAAATTTATAAAGAAGTGGAAATGTAGTCTTGTAGTAAACTTGTGACAGGAAAAGTTAGATCTCCTTTTTTTTTTTTTTTTAATATATATAGAATTAAGCATACAGCCATTTGGGAACAAATACAATTACTTTTTAAATATGACTCTACTTGAATTTTCTAAACATGACACTATCGCTTCAGTTAATAACAATTACATAGTCAGATGACATAAATACAGAATTTGTTGGTTGACAAATTAAAATTAATATGACACTAGAGAATGCCCCTGTTCAAACAACCTGGCCAGTGCTGGTAACAATGACATAAGGGAAATGAGCTTGTGGGGCTGAACATACGTTCACTGCCTTCATTCTCCTGAATGGCCTCCTAGGGTTGAGGAGGGGATATGGTCTGGCTCCCGTGTTGCCATGTTGCAACATATCCCACCTGAAGCCTTGCTCTGTAAAGCTTATCACTGCTAACACAAAGTCCAGGGCTACCGTCCTGAATGACATCACCTTTATATATTGACTTTGACTGTGTGCATTAAAAAAAAAAATTGGTTGTGCTTCTCACAAATCTGATATAAGTCTTCATATCAAACATTTTATTTCTTGGTTCTTAAGAAAGAAAAATAAAAGAAAGACATCAGAAGAAGTCAGATTGTAAGGTTGGTAAGGTAACAGTACATATACTACTAGTCAAATATCTTTAACTTAAAAGATATTATCATCACAAAGCAGATAGTTATATAAATATATTTATACAGACACATACACGCATGTGTGTATCTATATCTCCTCCCTAAAAGCCTATTGTTCCATGATAAGTTTTTCACAGCTATTAGTACATATATATATGCATACCTGTGTATATATATATATGTAGACACATAATTTTGACAATCTGCTCAGTAATCCACTGAGTGTATTATTACCATAACAATCTAAACATTGTACTTCTAGGGAAATGTGCTTAAAAATGGTTCAGTGATTTGTTCCAGATGAGGACTATTTACAAAGATAACTTTTTATGTCAGCAATAAATAATCCCAATATCAACAGAGACAATGCTCATGCACACACCAAGATGGCTGCATGCTATTAAAATATATACATGTAGTTTCTTCTTTACAGCTCTCCCATTAACAGTGAAAGTGCATTTCTGTCAGTTTTCTCCAGTCTTCAGTCCTGCTTCTGCGGGATGCATCCTTCCATTTCTACAACTTCAGGCCACCCTTCATATTTGTTTGTATCCTTGTTATTCTTAATATGCTATCGGAATACAATAACAGTGTATAGTTAAAAAAAAAAAACCAACAACTTTCCAAGTTGCTCATTTGCCATAACATGACTCACTCTCACTTCAGTAACATTCATGTCAACAATGAGGTCATATAAATTATCGCTCAAGAAATTAAATGAGTGACGCTGGAGGCCTGGCACCTATGTGACAAACTTGCAAAAAAATAGGTGAGAAACAAAGTCCTGTAGATATTTTTAAATGCTTATTTATTAGTCAGAAAGTCAAGTTTATATTCTGTGAAGGCTGCAAGTATTTTCAAATGGATTCTAAAATCCAAAGCTTAACTGAAATCCTTAATAACCAGTATGTTCCCTTCAAGTCTTAAAAGGAACCCCATCTCAACACACTGGAGGGCGTGGGGACAAATGCGCAATTTAATTTTAAATTGTGAAGTTTGAGAAGTGCTCTGGTACTTTCAAATAAATGACTGGCAAGCACTGATGAAAAGCAAATGAATATATTCAATATCTGCCTAACTTAATTTTCAAATAACCAGTGTGGGCGTATGTCCCACAGTTTCACACATTATTTTTGTCCGTGAGTTATCAAAGTGCTTCAGGACACTCACCTGTTCGAAAGGGCTTTTTGTTTTAATGCCCTTCCCACCACAGAAGACCCAGTTGTCCCTAAAACCAAGGTTAGTAATCGATGTGCTCCCCAGTTCTGCAATTAGCTTTCGTGCCTCTTCATTGAGTCTTAAAACAATAAAGAAAGAACAGAACAATGATTAGAGGGTACTTTATGTAATTTAGCTAACTCTGATTCATTCATCTAGGATATTTAGATCAACAGCAAAATGGGAACTCGCTAGCTTACATAAGAGAATATAAACTAACCAAGAGAATTTTCTTTCATAGCATATTCCTATTTGAATTCTTTAGAGATGAATGACACAAAGTACAGCAACTAATTTTAAAGTTATTCAATTAGGAAGTATTTTCTAGATGTGTCTTTACCTTCATTTAACTATTTTCCTTATATTTAATCAAATAAATAAGGAGTGGTACTGTTTTCATAGATGTCTACCTTGGCTACACCAAGGTCTTCAGTAACCAAGACCTTTGTAAAACCATTCATTTGAATCTCCATTAAGTCCTTTGTACGATTTACTTACATGTGGGTAAACTAAAAGTAAATGAAAGGGGCTGGGAATGTGGATTAGTGGTAGAGTGCTTCCCTAGGATGCCTGAGACCCTGGGTTTGATTCCTTAGTACCACATAAACAAGAAATAAGTAATTTTTTTTAAAAAAGGAAATGAGGATAGAAATATCTAGCACAATGTTTTAAGACAAAACAATTTTTGAGAGTAGAGATATAACATTGTACTTTAGTTATTTGAAAAATGAAAATATAACTCACAACTGTGTACACTAAGGAAGAGTGCGGTGACTCCATCAGCACAGGAAATTGCCACCGCACTGATACCATCCAGAATTTTGTGTGGATTATCATTCTAACCATTGAAGGATTCCCTTCCCCCTCCTTTCTCTCAGAGGGGAAAGGAAACTCAATAGGAATGCTAACTGTAGAGCTACAAAGATAACAGAGATAGCAAAAGGAGGATCACCTGGACGGGTTATTGATATGCACTGCTATAGTACATTCCTCAAACAGCAGTTCCTCTGAACACAGGCTTGTTCTGCTAAGGGAGTATTATGTTCGCAAAGAGCAGAAAAGTTAGTAAAGAAAGTATGGATTTATGCTTCTGTTCTGTTAACAATCCAAGCTAGTATCTCTCAACTTCTTCAGTACCTTAATCAAAGAAATACTGGGTATAGTCTCTAAAGACAAATGGCATGCTTTATTTATTTGTATTTTTTAAACAATTCCAGTAATGAGGGGGCTTGCTGAGAGGATGTGCAAGGCAAGTGTTGGTTATTTTAGAAAAATGCGAAGTGGACTGAACTGGGCCACTAGTGGGTCACACTTGTAATCGTTGCTACTCAGGAGGCTGAGATATGAGGATGAAGGTTTGAAGCAAACCCTGGCAGATAAGTTCATGAAACTCTTATCTCCAATTAACCAGCAAAAAGCCAGAAATGGAGCTGTGGATCAAATGGCAGAGTGCCAGCTTTGAGTGAAAAAGCTAAGCAAATGTACAAGATCTTGAGTCCAAACACCAGTGTTGGCATCAAACAAAGGGGGAGGAGGAGGAGAGTAATGAGGAACCGAAGACATGAAAAGTTAAATATTTCCAGTTTCTAAGACAAAGAAGATTTTAGCAATAATGGTCCAATAAAACCAATCTTAATTCCTACCCACAGTCTAGAACAGAAGACAAGGAAGATCGTGCAGACCCTACAGATCCTGAAAGCACAAAAGTGCAAAGAGGAAGGAAGGGGCACCAGTGGGAGAGGAGGCAAGCAGTCAGTGAATGGCATCTCCGCTGTCTGCGGCAGAGCGGGGAGCCTCCACTGCTGTCCTCTGTGGATTGTACGTGGGCAACTGAGAAGCCCAGACAGTAGCTGCTGTGCATAAAATAATTAAATGGCAGATGGATGGCACCCCCTTGGCCCTGTTCGGTCAGTCATCTCTGCAGGTAATTACTAGATGAATCTCTCGTATGAGGTTGACTCTAGCAGGGTGGCCCCATGCCCTTGGTAAATGTTTTCATCGAGGACTTCTATTTAGACATGGGGAAACTTTGGAGGGAGTACAAAGACAGACTCACGAAACCTCCGAGGACAAACATGAGATCCAAGACCAACCAGGTCCACATCCGCAAAGTTGAATTTAACACGAATAAACGAATACAAATTCCTTCATCTAAATTAAACAAAAACTCAAGTTCTAAATGGAGAGAAAGACCTGGCTCGGCATTTTTTTTTTTTTTTAAGAAAAAGTCTGAGATCAAATGAAAAGATCTAAAAAATCTAACTTGACCAAAAACTCACATGAGCCAAAAATATGATGTGATTGTTTAAAGAAAACTAATGCTAAGCTACATGAATATTCAAGGAAATGTAATCTCTGAAAGATGGCAAGTTATGGTCTCTCCATTGGACCATGTACTGGCCAGGCCACATCTGGAACACTGTGTTTAATTTGCGACATTCACTTTAACAGAGACAATAATCAACTAAAGAATGCCTAAGAAATATAGCCAGGAGGGTAAAACAAACTAGAAACATAATATGATAAACGATGAAAAGAGCCTAGAAAAGAGCAAACTAAAAAAGAGACACGTCAATTACCTTCAAATACTTGCTGTATCAAATGACTAGGGGAACATTTTTATTGTTTGGTTAATGACTATTGGGAAGAATTCAGAGCCAGCCCACCCTGAGAACAGAAAGTTTATGGATCTTTTTTTTTTTTTTTTTTTAGCCTCTTGTTGGTTTCAGATAGAGAGGCAAGGCAGCAAGGGGCCTGGCACCTTTAGTAAGGGAGGGGTCCTAGAGATATAATTACAGAGGCATTCCAAAGAAGACTGAGCAGGTGGATCAGCAGGAGTCAGGTAGCCTAGAAGGTCTTTGCTAGTCCAAAGCATCCACCATGAAATCTGTCACTTAGGGTAACTTGGAATCAGCATATTAGGACTCTCAAGAACAGTTCTGATTGTCTTAAAGAATAATGAAAAGAAGACAGTGAAGAAAAAGGTATGTGTCTTCAGAAAGGGGGGGCTTTTCAAAAATGTTAAAAGCGTCACATTACACAGGTAACACCTTATTCTCTCAGCTAAAACAAAAGAGCAAGCCAAACACTTGTGCTTTTGAAAAAGAAAACCTAATTACATCCTCTTTGGCTCTCCACTGCTACATAGAGAATTTGTCATTAACACATGAACCTTCAATTTACAGATTTAGTAAGTCCTTAAATAAGGTAAGATATGCAAACTGGGCATTGGTGACTCACGCCATCAATCCTAGCTACTCAGGAGGCTGAGATCTGAGGATCGCAGTTCAAAGCCAGACTGGGCAGGAAAGTCTGTAAGATTCTTATCTCCAATCAACCACCAAAAGGCTGTAGTAGAGCTCTGGTTCAAATGATAGAGCACTAGCCTTAATCACAAAAGCTCAGAGACAGTGCTCAAGCCCTGAGTTAAAGCCCCAGGACCAGCATGCATATACATTCATGCATACGTGCACGCATGCACGCATACACATGCGCGCATACACACATACACAGATAAAAATGTACAAAGTCAACAAAACATTTGAAGACCTTCAAAAAACAGCATCATTTTCCTAATATAAACTCACAATTGATAATAGCCTAAATGATGCTTACAAATCAATACATGTCAACTTTAAAGTTCAGAAGACAATTTAAAAAAGAAAATACAAAAAAATTTTAATCCAGCAATCTCACATCAAAAAAATCTGTATTTAGGAAATGATATCGTTTACTCACTTTTCAGACAATGCATTTGGTTAAGTATAAAAGACTGGAAATAAGCCTATGGTCCAGCAATAGACCTCCTGATGAAATAAATAATCAATCATGATACAAGGTTAAAACTGTACTAGGCAGCCATGGACAAGTCCATTACGGGGAACTTCTATGTGCAAAGACAGTCATCGCATGAGTGGAAAGGTTCGCCATACTATGTCCACATATTTAAAGGAAGAAAACAGGCATATATAATCATCTGGCATGGAAAATAAAACGTTGAGGTTATTCCTGCATGAGAGATGAACTATAACTCATTTTTTATGCTTTTCTGCATCTTGCAAATCTCTATAATTTATAGCTTTCAGAGAAAAAAAACCATAAAATTAACTTTACTTCCAGAAATTCCTGAAGCCAGGTGCTGGTAGATCAGTCCTACAATCCTAGTTACTCAGGTAGGGAGGGTCACAGTTTGAAGCCAGCACAGGCAGAAAAGTTTGTAGAGATTCTCATCTCCATCTAACCATCAAAAAGCTGTACTGGAAGCATGGCTCAAGTGGTAAAGTACTAGAAAGGAGCAAAAAAACTGAGCAGAAGCTCAAGGTCCTGAGTTTAAGCCCTAGTACAAGCACAAGCGCGTGTGCACATACACACACATACGCACATACGTGTATACACACACACACACACACACACACACACACACACACACACACACACACACACACACACAAAGCCAGAAAGATATTTTCTATACGAAAGTGCTATCACAATATTATTGGATTAAAAAAAATCTGGCAATACAGGAACTTTTAAATACAAGTGATACCATGTGACAAATTTGGTGAGGCAGAAAAACATGCTACTGAAGAATCTTAAAGCCAGAAAAAGCTAGAATATAAACGTATTTTTAAAATGACATACAATATGCTAGATGCAGTATTTCATGCCTATAATCCCAGCTACTTGGGAGGCAGAGATTGTGAAGTTCAGGGTTTTAGGCCAGCCCAGACAAAACGTTATATTGTATATCACACAGCTAAGCTGGCAGGGTAGCACAGGCCTACATTCCTGGAGACTACTGAGATCGGAGGATCAGAGTCTAAAGCTGGCCCTCAGCAGAAGTACAAAAGAACACAAGCAAGCAAGCAAACAAACAAAACTAAAGCAAAAAGGCCTTGGGGTATGACTCAAGTAGCAGAACATGCTGGGTAGGCCTGAGGCCCAAGTTCAAACCACTTACTATCTCCTGCTTGACCAAATGTATAATGTGATTCTAATTTTCACACATTAGTAATGGCAAATATTTCTACAGAAAACAGGAAGACAACTAATGGGGAAGGGAAACAAGCAGAAGGAACACAAAAAATGAACAAGAACCTTTAGGGACGGAGAAGGGCTCTAGAGGAAGAGAGAAGGGAAGGAAGACCTGGGATGAAGAGATGGGTGGACAAGTCAATGTGTCACCTACACATGAAAGTGCCTCAGGCAACCCGCCCATTTGTACATTCAGTATGCGCTTACAATGCAAATTAAGCAAAAGGATAAAGAAAGGAAAGCCACTTTAAAAATGCAGCTGGAGTTCCTCTGTTAGCCGGATCACTTGCTCCAGTTCACAAACTGTATTTGTTTTCTAATGCTGAAGGGCAAGCTGGAGGAAGTGTTGGTTGCCTTACTTGGTAGCGCCATCGTCGTATGTGCCCATTAAGACTATTGTCCCATCCTGGATGGCCTTCAGAAACTCAATAAAGGGAGCCACATCTGGCAGGGGAAAAAAAGAAAACAAGAAACTGAATAGCCATCACCAGAGTCCGTAATGTACAAAGCACTCAGAAGACTTGATTCCTAAAGGAAAGTAATCCCACAGGACTGCTGTAATCCAATGGTCAGACCTATTATGTCTTTAGCCCGGACATCCCTGAGGCTGGTAGATATTGGTAGCAAAGTCTGACTAGAGAGTAACTAAAGAAAGAACCTGAGAGTTCTCTATGATCTAGAGATCAGAAAGCCTGATTCTGATATCCAGGGTAAGTATCAGGGAATAGAAAATGGGCTTGTGGAATCCGTGAATATATGTCAAACTACCTGTAAAAAAATTGTTGTGTGGTTTGAGTTCAGGGCCTCATGGTTGCTAGGCGGAGACTCCACAACTGAGCCACACCTCTAACCCTTTGTCTACACTGATTATTTCTGTGACAGAATCTCACTTCCTGCTCAAGCATGCACCTGAAATCTTACCCTTCCTCGCACAGGTGAGATGACAGGAATGGGTCATCGTGACTAGCTCCTGGGTTGAGAGGGCTCTTTTGTGTATGCCTGGGCTGGCCTCAAACCACAATCCTCTCAATCTCAGCCTCCCAACTAGCTAGGATGGTAGGCACGAACCACTGATGCCCAGTTGCATAAGAACTTCCCTCAAAAGAAGGGACAGGGCTTTTATCCTATTTCTCAAAGAGATGTGTAATTTTAAAAATGAAATTTTATAAATGCATACACACAAATTTAGAGACTTTTCCAACTCTATCTATCTGCAATGAATAGTGAGAGGGGAGGGGAAAAAGGAATGGAGCAAGTCACTAAATGTCAATCTGACAGTGGCAAATATTATCATCATCTTATGCAACAGGACACAGAGACTTCAAAATAAACCTCTTCAGTGACTAGAAACTGCTAAAAATGCCAGGCCAGACACCAGGAATCATTTTCCATCTTGAATGTTGCAGCGTCAAGTTTCTTGATAGCCCTCCAGTCTAGCTCTACTTCAAAACTAAGTTACTTCAAATTTACTCCAGTTTTTCTTTCCCCATAGCAAAGATTCCAAAGGCTTTCTCTCATTTCCCAAAGCAAGCAGCTAACAAACTATTCCCATTTAAATGCAAAGAAGATCACTTGGCAAGGGTTTTCACGGGGGGGGGGGGGGGGGGGGGGGGGGGGGGGGGGGGGGGGGGGGCATCTGTCTTTAATGGGAGAGAAGAAGGGGCTACCAGAGCTTCCAGTTACATGGCTGATTAACCGCTTTGGGAATGCGTTTCTGTTTTATAAACTTTGTAAGAACAATCATGCCACTGCAATCTAAAACTCAGGGTAATATTTTTGGTTAATGCAAACTTTTGACAGCCCTAAGCGTTCTCGATGAGTATTCTTCCTTACTTAAGGAAGAAATACACGTAGCATCTTATTATAAGCTGCATGGTAGACAAGCAGAATTGGGTGAGAACTGGTGACATAAATTTCAGGAAGCTTAATAGTCGGTGACTTAATAATAGCTGTTGATGGGAAGGGAGAAAATAGTCCAGGAGGGAAAAGGTGCTGGCCAGTGCAGGCTGTCCATCACGTGTGAAGAAAAGGGTGGCCTTCTCCCTTGGGGGCCAACTCCTTTCCTGGCAAGGCCACCTACTGCTTTCTACTCTTTCAAAGATTCCAAATACAGAGAGACAAAACACTAAGTCCAGTGAATTACAAACAGCATTCTATTCCTTCTCTCATCTCATTAACAGTTAGCCACAGTACTGAGGTTAGCAAGGAGTAGGCAGGATTATTACACTTTATTTGGAGTGTCCTAGGCTCCTCTATCAGGTTATTTTTGAGACTGAAAGAAATCAAATGTGGACAAATGAATCCAGTTAAAAATGCTGACATTGTTTATGGTGGTCTTCAAATTTATTCCTTCTACATTACAGACAGCCTTAAAGCAGCTTCAAGTTTTAAATTGTTGTCCTGTCGAAAACAAGATTCAGATTTCTTTTTCATTGTTTTCCTCAAATATTTGTACAAAAGTTTCAACTGCACATGTCACTGTATGCATGTAATGCATCTTGATTAGTCATGATTCATCATTCATCATTCTCCCTCCGTCTATCCCATATCCTCGAGACTCAGACTTGCTGAAGTGCATTTTTTAAGAGTGGTCTTATACTCAGTTGCATACTGCAAACAATTTTCCTGGTGAAAACAAACTACAAGCAATATGACTGATCGCTTGACTACAGCAGTACACTAAGTCAAGAAAGCAGGAGACTCAAAGTGAACACCCGCACGCCACTGCACCCTGCCATGACCTCTGCCACACCTGACGTGATCACCGCACCGCCCCAAGCACAACAGAGCCATCAGGAACGCACGTACCTCCTCCCCACATGTCAAAATATCTTGTGTCCAGTACTTCCCCCGTTTTCCCTGAAAGAGAAAGCATTTGGGTGAGTCATGCAACTGAGATCCACCCCACACTGCAGAAGACCAATGATCTGATTTACCTAAGGATCACCATGAATTCAGTAGCAGGGTAGGAACTACTTTAGGAACTTAAAATCCAAATTGCACACATCACAAATATATTTTTAAAGAGTAACTTTTGGAAAGGACTTGTTCGTTCATCTTTGATGCCAATGAGAGCACAAAAAAATTTTCTATAAACTGCAGACCATTTCTACTCAACGCTAGAACATACTTTAGTCATCATTTTATTCCAATTTAAGAAAGGAAAAAAGAAAAAGAAAAAAAATTCTCTTTACAAAAACAAAAGAAATATCTATCAGAATCATATTTTGTTCTATAATAAAGGTATTTAAAAATTATGCGTATTTCCCCTTTAATATCAATTAAGTAGATGACTAGATATTGAACATTTTGGAGTAGAAAATGCAGAAGTTACAAACTGAAAATTGACTGCTTGGGAAAGAAGTACAAACTTCTTTTTCTCTGCTGTGCTGTAGGTAAGGGGCTGGCTAGTGGTTTCTAGTCAGTCCACCCACCTTCACATGGCACTTATCTATGAACCAGAACTAAGTGAACTCTCACTCGTGGCTTGGATTTTCCAATTTAATTTCACAACACTAAACAAACTCAAGATTCAATGAACTTTATATGAATAAGCCTATAGGAATATGGACTGGGAAGTGGCACTGTGGCTCAAGTGGTAGAGTGCCAGCCTTGAGCTGAAGAACTGAGGGGCAGCGCCCAGGCCCAGAGTTTAAGCCCCACAACCAATTAAAAAAAAAAAGGACCATATGGACCATAGAAAAATTTTATAATAAATTTTATCTTCATTCCTCCTTTTACCTAGTCCATCACCCTTTACCATGTGACATACCCCATTCCTGCCTACCTTGTCTTCATGCTGTGCTAGAATTCCTAACAGTGAAGCAACATTTCATAATTTCTCAATTTGGCCGCTTGCTGACAACCTCTGGGAAACTCTCCAGACAAGGCACCAGGCAAGGATGCATGCTGGGAATATTTAGATACCAAGTCTCCATCTATGTTGCTCTGGAAGAAGGTCAGGGAAAGCCTTCACCATCCCTAATGGTGCTTCCTAATTCCACCTCTTCACAGCATTTTCCTTTAGGACACATGTATTAAGAAAAAAAATCCACTGATGATTTTCATGAATTACAAAAATCACTCTTACCATTTGCCAAGGCAACATTGATGCCTCTTCCAACATTATTCTTAACACCACTCATCAAACTGAAGGGAGAAAAAGAAATCAAGAGACATTTATTAGTATTAGATATTACATAGGAACATATCACAGGAAGTCATGTAAAACAAAGGATTATACACATGTAGCAATTGATTATACATACATATCAGCTGCACTGTAGATAAAAGTAAAAGGCCTTGCTGGGCACTGGTGGTTCATGACTGTAATCCTAGCTATTTGGGAGACTGAGATCTGAGAGTTGTGGTTCAATGCCAACCTGGGCAGGAAACACCATGAGACTCTTATCTCCAATACATACACAAACAAAAAGATAGGCAAGAAGTAAAGTTGTGCTGAATTAAAGCCTCAGGACCAGTACCAAAAAGAAAAAGGGAAAAAAGCCTCTAAGTAAGAAGACAGTCTAGTAGTGAAACAATTTAAAGCAATGTCTTTAAATAACACTTCACAAATAACAACCTATATCTTAATACTATATATATGGTTCAAGTGGTAGCGTGCCTGCCTAGAAATCACAAGGCTGAGTTCAAACCTCAGAACTACTGAAAACAGGTACTGGGGGTCAAAATACCACATTAGTGCTTGCAGCTCAACTAGGAGATACCATTTTAGAAACTTCATTCTGCATGAAGACAGTGTGCCTGTGTTCTCCATCATTCTCAAGGGTCAAACGACAGATGAGCTCTTTTCTATTTTCTACAGCATAGAGACCTGGCCAATACTCCCTAAGTGCTTTATAAGCTGAGAGCAAGAGAAGGGCAGTATCATATTTCATGAATGTCTGCTTGTGATGGCTCCCTCAGTCATATCAATGTAAACGTGCTCTACCCTAGAAGGAGAACCACTACGCCACACTCACTGATTACCGCATCTGACCACAGCCATGCTCCTGAGATAAGCAACATCCATTAGAGCTCACAGACTGCAATGAGATGCTACTCAGACCTGCTACTCAGTGAGTTAGACGGTAACCAATTCTGACAAGGATATGGACAAACTGAAGCCCTCCATTCAGTGCTGGGAGAAATGTAGACTGGTGCAACCATTTGGAAATAAGTTCTAAAGTTGTGAACAGTGACAGTCTGAACCAAAATGTATCCTGTATGTACATATGAAAAATGAAGTTGTTTCTATCCCAAAACATGTAAACAAATGCTTACAGAAACATTACTCCTTTTACCCAAAAAGTGTAAATAGTCCCAATATCTATCAATCAATAAGATGAATAATAAAATGATGAATATCTATACAATGGGATATTATATAAGTATAAAAGGAAGTAAGTCCTGGTACACACTCCAGCGTGGATGAACCTTGAAAGAGACTAAAATGAAGCATTCAAAATAAGCCAACCTACGGATAAATAAACCAAAGTTGGTATCTTAGGTGCCAAGCGGGATGAGATAGCAGGAGGGCGGCAACAACTGGAGGGCTCAGAGTTTCTTCTGCTAGTATAAAAATGTTCTAACACTGCACCTTCCTACAACTGTACACTTCATCGGAGTGAATTCAATAGGAAAGCCATGTGAACAAAAGACCTGGGTCTTGATTATACACAGAGGAAGGGTGGATTTTGGAACATATTAGTTCAACTGCACCAAAGAGGAACATCTCAAAATGCTTCTTTCTGGCTCTCCACCTTTCAGAAATACGCTAGAAAGTAAACTCCATTAAAATTAAGAAGCAAAAGTTCTAGGTAACTAAGAAACGCAATGACACACGATTCCCACAAGAGGGCAGCAGCTGATCAATTTTTGAACACTGAAATTCAAACGAAATCCATAACTAAATGAAAAAAACCACTGAAGATGTAAAATGTCTAAGGGTTAGACATCCTGCTAACAGTGATTAACACATTTTCCTTAATCTATACACAGGTGGAATGTGAAGGCCCTGCCCCATCCATACCTCTGACCAAAACCATGAAGAAAATGGTAAGTATGTTCCAAATACAGACTATGTTCTAGCTACTGCTTCTTGAAATGATTAAAGATCTGGCAGACGAATTTCCAAGCCAAATAAATTCATTTGTTGTTTTGTTTTGATTTGACTTACTCCTCCTTCATGAATAATGTGTATAAGGTTACATTCATACCTCAACTACATGCTTCATTTTACTTCTGAACCTCATGAACATAACAGCAATCTTATTTTTATTCTTATTTTTTTGCTGTGGTTGTTCATGGGGCTTGAAGTCAGTGCCTCAGAGTTGTCCCTGAGCTCTTTCACTCAAGGCTAGAACTCTATCACTTCGAGTCACAACTCCACTTCCAGTTTTCTGGTGGTTAATTGGAGATAAGAGTCTCACAGACTTTGCTGCGTGGGCTGACTTAGAACTGCGATCCTCAGATCTCAGCGTCCTGAGTACTTAGGATTACAGGATTTACAGGTGTAAGCCACTAGTGCCCACTTCTGGGTTTTTGTTGTTGTTGTTGTTTTTATTTATTCCTCAAAATAATCTAAAAATTCTTGTACCAAACTTTAAGAGTATACTATAAATGAAATCACTAATATTAACTTCATACAAACTGAAATCCAAGACTTGTATCATAAACAAAAGCAGTACCTTGGACCTACAAGAGTTCACAGGGTCTCTAATCAAGAAAGGAAAGCTGTAATTGCTGCTATGTGTGGGAACTGGATTTACACCTCGTGTCTCCACTAATGGGATGTTTGAAATGCATCTTAAACGTGATGACACATGGAGAACTAACTCCTAGGCTTCACAACAATCTTTGTGTCCGTTTCTCAAACCTGGCTTAGAGTGACAGCATTGCTGTAGGCAGCTCCCCCACAGCTGTGACAAATGACAATTACCCATAGGGAGCAAAATCACCCCATGGAGACACTGGTCTAGAATATTCCTCTCCAGAGAGAGCTGCATGTACTCAGAGCAGGTGCAAGAAACAGTTAAATTTCTACTCATGCATTTGTACTATTGACTTACGTATTTTACAAAGTATAAAAACAGAATTGTGCTGGTGGCTCACGCCTGTAATCCTCAGCACTCAGGAGGCTGAGATCTGAGGATCCAGGTTTGAAGTCAGCTGGGACAGAAAAATCTGAAAGACTCATATTTCCAATTAATCAGTGGAGCTGTGGCTCAAGTGTAGAGCACCAGTCATAAACAGTAACACAAAAGCTAAGACCTGGGTTCAGTACCACCACAAAAATAAAAACACAAATCTGTCTGTTGTGGATAGAAAAGTATTACTAAAGAGCTGGATGGCAGAAGCTATGACCCTCCTATTATTATTTCTAGTCCACTGGATTTTACACAGCAGTCAGATGATAATTTTCTACATAGCTGAAATGAACCTTTCCACAGTCTCAGGAGAAGTCAACCCCTTACCTGCACTACCCAAAAGTTCCTACATGGCCCCATGGCGTTACCCACTTCTCCCCAGAGCTCCCAGACTGCAGGACCTTTTAGAACACTCCTGTGTAGGGGTCTCTGCCCATTCTCTACCAGCTGCTTTCCTTCTAATCTCTCAGTTCTCAGACTACATGATAGACTCTGACCCCAGAATCTGAGTTCAGACATTGCAGCTCCATTTCCCTCACTTCCACACACCTTGCTGTGCCTGCACAGCTGGGCCAAGAGTTATAGCCACTCATTTGCATTTGCTTTCTAACTACCTGTTACCCCTCCTAGATCCTAGGTTTTCCACAGAGGAACTGTGCTCAATAAATACTTATTGAATCAGACAATGAAAGATGCTTGGGAAATTCAGACTCATCCTTTTCTTTCTTTGATTTAGTAAACAATGACAACAATACAACTATTTGTACTATGTGTTAGGCTTTCAATATAGAAATAGAATATTCTGGAAAAAGCATTGGATTAGAAATTGGTCCCTGCAGTATCTCTACTGGATATCCCTGGCCAATTATTCAGCACTCCTATGGGGACTAGCTTCAGGACCTGAGGCCTATCTAAGAAAATCACATCAATTATTTAATCTTAAATGACAATGGCAGAGTGATGTTTGAAAGGCAGCTAGCTCAGTGGCCAGCCTCAATTTTATGGTTAAAGAAACTGAAATACATTTTAAATTCTACATGGCATGCCCACCATGCCAGACTTCCAGCCCAGTATTATTTTACCACGTCCTGCTGTCTGTCTGCTTTCTCTTTCTCTTTCTGACCCATGCAATGTGTAAGAACAAAACCTGCCACTGAAAAAGCTTGATTGCTTTTCTGCATCAAATGCACATGTTTTAAGGGGAAAGAGTAGGTCTAAGGATGGTCTGTGGCACAGTGTTACCCAGAACTATAGTCCTGGTCCTTATTATTTAGAATCAAACTTGGGGTCTCTGAAGCCAATCACAGTGAAAATAGAGGAGAATGTTTCTAAAAACTAACAAGTTCTAAAGCCTAAGTGCTTTGTCACACACCAGTAAAACAGGACTAGTACAAGAAGGAATCAGAAGACAATGGATTAATATGGAAGGAAGTAGCATGAGGGAAGACAAAGGATCAAGAGATCTACAAGAAAAGTGTTATCCTGCAAGGCTGACTAACCTTCCATAGCTAGCACAATGCAAAAGGGGCTGGATAAAAATCTAAAAGCTTCTACATCAAAGAGACACACAGCGCTGGGAAACCCATCTAGCTTCTCTGTTCTGTCCTGTTGCCTCGTTCTCTGTTTTACATAATTAAATGCCAATGTATTATTTTACACAAAGGTAGGTGAATTCATGGTTCTACTTTTCCAGGCAGAGAGTAAACTGGACAATGAGAAGTGGTATTTGCAATTTTAGGGGCAATAACTTAATTACAAGTGAAGGTGGGTATGGAGGTAGGTCATTGAAAAACCTGCAAACCTGCAGAGTACCTCAACTGAGAAACCACCCAGCTCGATTCCAAGGCAAGCACTTTATAAGCCATCATCAGAGGAGCATTTCACCCTGAGCAAATGATATTCAAATATGGAAAATGGAAGAGGATGGGTTACAGGGCAAAAGCTACCAGCAAGACTGTCCTGAAATGAATGCATTCTCTCTCTGGGCTCTCCAATTCGCAGGCCATGAGCCACAGGTGGCCATTAGATACTTGAACAGTGCCGGCAGTTACTGAAGAATTGAGCTTTTGCGTATGTATGTATGTATGTACGTAATTTACTTATTTATAATCGGGTGTGGGGCTTGAACTCAGGGATTGGGCACTGTCTTTGAGCTTTTGTGCTCAAAGACTAGTACTCTACCACTCTGAGCCACAGCTCCACTTCTGGTTTTCTGGGGGTTAAATGGAGGTAAGAGTCTCAAAGGCTTTTCTGTCTGGCTTTGAACCATGATCCTCAGATATCAACCTCCTGAGTAGTTAGGATTATAGGCATGAGCCACCAGCACCCAGTGAACTGAGCTTCTAATTTTAATCAAGTTAAATGAATTAACTTTCTCCTTCCTTTTTCAGAATCAAAAGAGCTACTTGAGTCTTGGCGACTTCCAAATGGGGCAGTACTTACCTACATAATTCGCTAGAAGCAAATATCTTATCTCTATGTGAAGCTAGATTGATTGTGTGCTTAGCCACTCTCTGAAAAACTTAATAACTTAAAGTCTTCTTAAATAAATGGGGAAAAAGCATAGAATGATAACAGAAATCACTGCTCTTAGGTCCCACTAGCTGTAACTTAATAATCTACCTCAGCGTTCCAAACCAGCCAATACTTACACATTGTCTTCCAGGCAGATCTTGGGGCCCACCACATTGGCTGCACCACTTGCCATTTTAAAGGCAAAATGCTTCTCAGGGCAAGCTTTGGAGATCCCGCATTTATATCTGGGAGGCTTTGTAGCTTTGAGGAGAACAGATGAGATTTGTTTCTTTAGAATACAAGTTAACAGACTATAATCAATTTGTTTTGCATTTATTTCAAAGCACAAAAGGAACATTAGAGCAAACGCACAGTTTTAGACACATGCCAGAGAATTTTTCCTGAGGGTTTCAAAGAGCCTCAAAACAACAAGGACACAAAAACAAAAGCCAGAACCTCTTGGGGAATGAACTAACAACTGACATAAATAGATCAAGTTATCTAACCTCGATGATCACATGTGTGTCTAATCTAATTATTCTGGAGTGTATCTTTAGATTTTGGGATGCCCATCTACAGCTATGCACCAACTGGTTAGGTCAGAGATCACTAAAAAAACCTAAGACCCCCACTGACCCACTGACTCTCTGCCCACAGACAGTTCTAATTAAGAAATCTTTTAATCTCCATTACTGGCAGCACTTAGAATACTGGAACTAGACAGTATCCAAAGAACAAAATACCATTTCTGAGGCAGTGTCAAGAATCCTGGGCTGTCAAATCATAGACTCCACATAAATCTAAACTGTAATTTCCAAATCAAGTTTCACTCATATTCAACTGTCAGCACTGCTTAAAATATAGGCTTGCTGGGCGCCAGTGGCTCACGCCTGTAATCCCAGTTACTCAGGAGGCTGAAATCTGAGGATCTCGGTTCAAAGCCAACCAGGGCAGGAAAGTCTGTGAAACTCTTATCTCCAATCTACACTCAGAAAACCAGAAGTGGCGCTGTAGCTCAAGTGGTAGAGTGCTCACCTTGACCTGAAGAGCTGAGGGACAGTGCTCAGGCCCAGAGTTCAAGCCCCACAACCGACAAAAAAAAAAAAAAAAAAAGGCTCTCATAGGCCTACAGTAGGACAGAATAAACCATTAGTAGAATATTGAGATGGAATACTTACAGCGAGCAGCTGTGTCCAGTGCTGATCTTGCTAAGAAAAGAAAATGTACCTGTGTTAGCATGAGCATATTGGCAAATATCTACTTCTTAAACAGCTTTAGAGATTCAAACAGGCCTATAAAAATAGGTTTGAATGACTTCTTAGTGTACAATTTTAAAATATAATATCACTTCAGAGAAAGAGCAACTTAAGAGTAACTTTACAGTCTATAGTTTATTATAAACAATTATGTATAGGAATCACGGGAGCAGTGTTGTTTTTTATTTTTAACTGATACTTTACCTTTTGCTTTGTTTAGTTTCTACAACTTTAAATCCCAATCATAAAATTATTCTATCAATAGGTACTTGATGAGTATTTCTTAAGTTGTTACAACTTAAGTTCTTACGTTGTTAAGTTGTTATGTGTTTCATACACATAAGCATGCAGTTACACAGAAACTTTTCTTGGTGGTTAGGTAACCAGTTTGGGGATAGAAAACAAACTAATGAATGGTGTACAGCTTTCATTTCTCCAAAACAGACATGTACTAGGTATACTAAAAATAGTTAATGTCTTAATACTAAATGACTGTTATAATTCTCTAGGTCACAGAGGTCAGAAAGTCAAGTCTTACTAATAGCAGGAGATTATAACCTGGTCATTAATTGCAATCGCATGTAAGAGCTTTCTAAAACAATATCTGATCCCAACCCAGGAAATAATACTTACATCATCAACGTTTTGTGGACAGTTGTTTCCTGATTTGGCTAGTAAGTATGCAGTGTGATAAATGTTAGCTAGCTGTCTGACTATAAATAACTTTTGTACTATTTTTGATAACTGAATTTCCTGTAAGTTCAGTATTCAAACTGGTTAGTAAAAAGTGAAAGCTGAAAGTATCTAAATGTTTTAAAAGAAGAAAATGGCCAAATGAAGCCTCATGTACTCTATAGAACACGCAGCTGAATATTTATTATACATTAAAGTCACAGAAGTAATGCAGAAAAAGGTTAATGTATGAGATAAAGCAGAAAACAAACTTCATCTATACTCTAGCATTAGTACTAAAATGAAAGGAGATTTGAAGGCAAAAAAAGGAAAAAAGGACGAGTTTGTAACTCAGGTGGTTAAAATTACTGGACTTCATTATCTGAATTCTATCATTTTTCTTTGATTACACGATAAAAGGGGGAAAAATTAATTCCAGAGTTGTGTCCCAAGACTCTTCTTTCTCTAAATGACAAAATGAAAGCTTAGAGCAATCAGTCTGCAGGTCAAAGATTAGAAATGTGCAACTTCACTATGTCCTGAACAACTGTATCATCAGACATCCAAGAAGACAGAGATGTGAACAGGCTCACAGGATACCTCATTCACACTGGCTGCACACTCTGCCAAATATCTTTGTGCACCATGAGTTCAGTACCATGACTGTTTCAGAGGCAAGGAAACTGAAGACACCAAGGTTTACTGGTTTGACTTGTTTCAGGTCATAATTATGAACTGGTAAGCGTAAGCATTGAAGGTCATCTCGAATGTAACCTCCGAATTCACATTTTCCCATCTTTCAAAACGGCAATGTCTGAGCTCTGGTGATCACATACAGAAACACTGCTGATCTTGGCAGGAGTCAGAGGCTCTTCTCACCAGAGGAAGTGAAGACTAGAGATGACAAGTCAACACAAATTCTAAAGTCATCCATATAAAATGGGCAGTTTGTTGGGGGAAAATGCAAAAGGTGGTAACTGGGTTGGAAAAAAAAATAGACTGATTCAGAGCAACTAAAAACACAGCATGTGTAAAACTTAGGAATGGACCAGACAGGGGGATAATGGAGTCAAGGATGCTGACTGATCAGGGAGCTGACTACAGCAGTATTCATGTACTCATTCTCAAGAGCCACTGAACAAAAATACTTTCTCTGCACCGAGATCTTTGTAATTGAGATGGGGTGAGAATAAGTGATAAGTTCTGTTGTGGGACTTTAGCAAGATTCAAGAGGAGCAGTATAGAGAGGCCAGCTATCCACAGAACCTGTGATTACACACAGGAAAATACCGTTTACTAAAGTTAGACGCTAAACAAATGGCAAGGATAACTAAAGTAGTCTGAAATGAACATTAAAAATTAAGATTAATTTTTCACCAAGAGATAAGAGTCCAATAAAGTTTTTTTTTTGGGGGGGGAGGGTGGTTCCAGTCGTGGGGCCTGAACTCTGGGCCTGGGCACTGTCCCTCAGCTCTTCAGCTCAAGGCTAGCGCTCTACCACTTGAGCCACAGTGCCACTTCTGGCTTTTCTTTCTTTCTTTTTTTTTGCATATGTGGTGCTGAGGAATTGAACCCAGGGCCTCAGGCATGCAAGGCAAGCGCTCTACAACTGAGCCACCTTCCCAACCCCCAATAAAGTTTTATAGATGCAGCATTTTAGTTCCAACATCAAAATAAACATCTTTCCTATGAGTGCCTAAACCATGGTAGCTACAACGCATACACTAAAACCTTGCAGGTAAACGACGGGAAATGTCAAAATGAAAGGAGACAACTACTCTAAAGTAGACGATATTGGTGGATAGCTGACTTCAGTTATTTCCAACTAATACAACGCTCTATGAATCCCACTTTCAAATGCTGTTCCTTCCCCCATGAGAATCCAACCCATCAATTATCCACATTTACTTTCACTCAAGCAGAACACAGTATCCAGAGCCCAGCACTAGATAAAGTTGGGTAAAGAAATACGACATCACTGCCTTCAAAGATTCATTCTCTGACGGTAGGGAGGCAGAGAAGCAGACACATGAAAAGAAAAAGTTATCTGTATGGCAGAATAAAATCACTGATCTAGGTGCTATGTAATTAGAGCAAACAGTTCAAAAATAGGAGCAACACAATGAGATGATACCAAGGCAGCACCATGGAAAGCAGATGGCCTGGGGAGATACCGCAGGGTGGGTGCCGCATCCACATGAGCACAGGTGAAGGTGTGAAGGAACAGGGGGCTTTGTGGTGTGCATGGCGGGGGTAAGATGTGGTAGTGTGCTGGGGAGATCTATCAGAAGGGCAGGAGAATCGGTGTCATCCTAAGCAGACACTGTATTTGATTCTCCAGGATTGACAAATACTAAAGGTTCATGAGTTTACAGAAAATGGCTCTTACAGTGGTGAAACACGAAGGTAGTAAAAATGAAAAATTGTTGGAGGGTCATTATGTGGTGTTTATAAAAACACTCTGGACTAGGATGAAGTTCTAAACCAAAGAGACAGAGACAAAGGGAGGGGACAGAATACAGACATGAAGATTACTTCAGGAGTCTCTACCAGCTACTTGTGTGTATATAAGAGTGCCACACTGACTTTACCCTGTCTCCTCTTCACCCCTTTCTGAGAGCAGTAGGCTTTCCCCAAATGCTGTAACGTTCCTATTTGTATCGTGGCCACACTCATTTCTTTCAGGAACCCAATTTTTTTTCTTGCCTTTTCAATCTCTTTTTGTTGATCTGCTACTCAAAAATTTTCCCACAAGCCTGACAGCCAAGTAAGTGTTTTACTTTAAAAGAAAAGCATGTGACTTGCTGGAGTCATGATCTATAATCTTAGATGAACTACTTATACACTTGCTTCTGAGGCAATACGGAGTAAGCCCTGGAAGTCTTCGGTGTGGTTTCTGGCCCACTGTTCAGTGAGAAACTAGCTGTATTCTCTGAGGCTACCAGGCTGCCGAGTGCAGACCAGAACAAGTCAAATCACATCTCACTGTACTTGGCAAAAACTACTTTAACCGGAATCCTGCATATTTCATTTTATGAGGAGTGCTGAAAACAGACAGGTTCTGGAACAAAGTGATCAGTGATTACTTTGAAAGAATGGAGACTTGCAAGGAGACCAGAAGAACCAGGAGTACTATTTAATTATCTGAGAGAGCACCGATGTAGAAGCTCCTACGCAGAAACAAGATCAGTGAGATGAAATTGCTTAGAGCACAAAAGGCAGATTCAGTGCAATACAAAGGAGCACTTGTAAATAGTTACTGTTAGAAAAACCTGCCTCGAAATGCTTTTACCAACCTTAAGGACTGCATATTGGAATGGTCTATAGCCTCAATGCTCAGCATAGGACGGTCCAGCTTACCTGGTTACCTGGGAGCTCCTGAGAAATGCAAGCTCTCAGGCCACATCCCAGACATAAGGGAGAACTTGCACCTGCCAAGAATCTCTGTATACTATGAAGGTTTGGGAGACACTGTATAATGGTCTTGAGAGTATATTCAGGAAACAAATTAACCTTGGTGATCCCTTCTAGACATTCATAAATTTATGGAATTCAAAAAACTCAATTCAGAGACCTCAAAGTCCTTTCATTTGATTCTGCCTGTTAGTTCAAAATGCTGTTCCTGTGTTTCAGTCTCACTTTTTTATGTCTTAACAGCCAAAGCTTATTCCATGTTACGGCAAGGATCTAAGAAGACTATTTATACCTTCTCTAACTTCAAGCAATGAAGGCCTGTGGTAGCTAGAAGAGATTCTAAATTGCATCTCTAGACTTATTATTTCTCATTTGAATACATCAACATTAAGTTCTACTCCTTATTCTCCAATGCAGTTTCAAAGATAATTGGTTCTATTTACCAATTTAAAGATGTTTGTTAAAAACTGAGTTTAGGGCTAGGGATGTGTAGTTCAAAGGTAATTACTACCTTAGCAGATGCAAGGCACTGAGTTTGATCCTTGACAAAAGAACAAACAAACAAAATCCATTAAAAATTCCTGAATACCTTGTAATGTACCTTGTAATGGTACATTTATAATATGGAAATATATTATATGAATGGAATAAAAGGAGAATTCACAGAAAGAAAATAAGATCAATGGTGATGATCATTATTAAAATTCATTATTATGACTCCCTGAAAACTGAGGGATATGGGTGGCAAACAGAAATGATTTAAAATTATGGGTGCTGTGATTATCTTTCAGAATGTTGCCCAGCATGTATGAAACAGAATCATTAAATGTTTCAAATGTTAAACAGAAGGTTTCTTGCTTTAACTGCCTTAACTCTAATAACCTATGCATTTTAGTATATTCAAATGAACCACATTTACTGATAATTCTTTTTCTAAATGACTAAACAGCAGAAAATAAATGAAACTGAAAAAAAAATTAAAAAGCTACATTAGAAATTAGTTCTAAAAAGGGAAAAACCATAGAACTTACCAAATAGATTTCCTAAACTTGCATCCATTTTTATTTCAAATACTTGAGAAATAACATAAAATGTCAGTAAAAATACTGCCACAGCTACCACCAACTTTGCAGCTCCTGGGTAAAAGGAAGAAATAATTCAGCATGAGTTTATGAGCCTTTGGCAATAAATATCAAAGGTTACATGTCAAAACTCCTATTAATCTACTGGACCTTAATTTTATTTGGCTTACAACAAAAACTGAACCAAGAGGGATTTTTCCTGATCCTCAAGGTAACCAAACACAAGTCTGCTAGAGACATCATTCTAGCTTAACACTCAAAATAATCATCTAGTATCAGTCCATCAGCCACTGGCTGATTACGCCAAAGTATCTCAGCCAATGGAGGAGAAATTCCAGGGAAGTGAGAAAAATACTGGACCTTATGGAGGTATCAAGATCAGGAAATCCATCAACTCAAGTTCTCAAGTGAAAGGTAAGATGCTTATTGTCCTATCACCATCTCTGGAAGTACTTAATTCCTCACAAAACAGTAAACAACAACAACAACAACAACAAAAAAAGTCTTCCCCTACTTATTTTCTCGTTAAAAATAGGCTCCCCAAATTCCGAAGGATATAATTTGGCATCTATACAGGGTAAGCACTACAGGTTATATTCCTCATCTTTAAAAAAAAAAAAAAAAAGGCTTATTTTTATAGATTTTTTTTTGTTATCTCGTATTATATTTTAGTTGTTGCACAAAGTTAGTTACCATTTAAAAATCAGTTTCTATAATTTGTGGAGGGGAAGGGAAAAAACAAATTGTTTAAACAGGGATACAGGTGGACCCATTAAAACAATGAGTTGTACAAGACCTTATGTCAAAAAATGAACTTTTCAACTTTGGCGTGGGCTGGGGGGGGGAGGGGAAACAAAAGGAGGCAACAATGCTTGATAAGAAATTTACTGGGGTCACTGTATATTATGGGCTGGGAAGGTGGCTCAGTGGTAGAGCGTTTGCCTTGCTTGCATGAGGCCCTGGGTTCGATTCTTCAGCACCACATAAGCAAAAAGAAAAAAGCCGGAAGTAGCACTGTGGCTCAAGTGGTAGAGCGCTAGCCTTGAGCTGAAGAGCTGAGGGACAGCGCCCAGGCCCAGAGTTCAGGCCCCATGACTGGACCCCTCCCCCCACCCCCCAAAAAAAGAAAGAAACAAATTTACTCATTACCTTGCTCATGTAATTGTAACCCCTCTGTATGGTATTTTCACAAAAAAAAAAGATCTCATCCTGATTGAAGTTCATCTTTTCATCATTCTCCCTCATCCCTCCTAACCCAGTCCCTCCTCTCAATTTTTCTTGGTTTCATAGGATATGTATGCAATATTATGACTGTATTTTCTAATGTATTCTTTTTGTTTTTTTAATTTAATTTTATTTTATTTGAGAACATACTGTACAGAGGGGTTACAATTACATGGGCAGGATAATGCATACATTTCTTACCAAGCACTGCAGCCTCCTCCTTTGTTTACCCTTCACCTCCCTTCCCACCCTCCCCTCTCCCCCCCACCCAATCAAACCCCCCACCCATTCTAATGTATTCTTATATAATATTATATTCTTATTCTTTTCTATCTTTAGTCATGTTTGAGTGCCTTGTAAATCATTGTTACTGACATTACATTGTTAATGTTTAATATGAATTATCTCTTCTTTTTCTTCACAGCTAACCAATCTAGGAGAGAAAACAACAAAATACAAAATTGGAAAAGAAATGGGAAACAATAGCCAAGAAATACTGCCCGCTTAACCTTTGACCTTCCAAGATGTGTTATCACCTTATTTGGGAAAAATATAAAATGTGTCTATACTAGCTCTATCTCCTCTCCCAGTAATGGCTTGGGGTTAATTTGTGTTGACATAAAAGAGATGGAATCAGCAGTCACCTCACTATCTTTACTCCGAGGTGAGATAGCAGCCAAACAAATTAGTAGCAGCACAGACTCCAGAATCCAGGTTCTCTAATAAAGTCTGGTGGTTTGTACAGTACTTGGCCCTAAAACCAAATTATACATTCTTCAAAAAAAGAATACCAGGCTCACTTTATTAGACAAGGAGAAATTTTTTTTAAAAAGTTTGTTTTAATTTCAAAAACCTAAAGAGAAAAGATTGTATCTTTAAATGGAAAGAGGATCTTTACAAGGAGCTGATGATGCTCAGAAAGGCTGAGAAGAACGCTGAGAAGATAAAACCTACTCATTGCTATTTCAAAACACTCAATGGCTGCATAGTAAGGGGCTGGGTATTAAAAGAAAAAGAAAAAAAACAAACATTCCATCAATATAACAAGGACATGGCAATGAAGAAGTATTACTACTAATCCATTTCTGCCTCTCTCCTACATTTCCTAATTTCTTCACCACGCTTTCTGTTTTAAGAGCAATTCCTATGTCTATGATTTCAGTAAACAAGACAGGAAAATTCCATTAGGCTTTGAGTTCTTCCCCTCAGGTACTAGCTGAGTGCCTAACACAAAGTAATAATCTGAACAACTGCTTGTTAAACAGGTAGGTGGAATATTCTTTCTTGATCATTTAAGCCCACTCACTTGAAGACTGTACCTTACATGACAGTTTATAGATTACTTTCTAGCAACCACGGGTACGTACAGAGACAATCTTTTCATGTATATCCTATGAAACAGTTATTAATACTAAAGTTATTAAAATATCAAGAAACCTGAGGGTTCTAAGTTTTACTCAGAGCTAAACCTAAGCCTTCACTAAAGCTGTGTGCGTATATACATATACACACACAGAATATGAGTATGTATATGTGTATGTTTGTAAGACATACATACTATTTTCTGAATGCTTACTAGAGAGCTGAATGCTTTATAACTACAATCTTAGTTGCACCAACATTATACTATTTTCACTTGAAAAATGAGGAATATGAGGCAGAAATTTTAAGTCACTTGCTAGTTCATAGAACTAAGCAGGCAAAGGTCATGACACAGTCATTTATACAAGACTAACAAGAAAGGAAAAATTTAACAAGAAAGAAAAATTGACAAGGAAAAGCTCTAAGGAAAAGAAAAGTTGGCAGAGAATCTATATTCAGTGTGGTCTCCATAGTGTTAACAATTCTGGGACTTCCATTGCAAAAGGTCTTCAGAACTGGTTTGCCTATTCAGTTCCAAAATGAAGATGATTCCCATTCTTAATTTCCCATGAGATTCTCTCTTGGTTCTAGCCAGGGTCTGTATTACTTTGAGTGTATTCCTGTTTTTCATAAAGCCAAAAAGTATCAACTTGAGATATAAGTATGATGGCTCAATGGGTATTCAAGCAACAGGACCTTCTTAAAACATAGAAGAGACTAATTAGTTAAAAGCAATAGCTAATCTTTCTTATTTGTTCACTAAGGGCAATTCTCCCAAGACTTACTTTAGGAATTGTGCCAAACATAAAATTAGCACTCTGTGAACAATTACTCATCAATTAACCTGGGTATTAATTGTCAGAGTCAGAAAAATGGACGAGATGACAAAGGTAATTTCAACTAGAATGAGTTTAGAATTATGTACAAAGAGAATATTGCTTTCATTCAAGCTGCTATGCCTAATTAGGCAACGTATTTTCAAATCTTCTGGATACAGAATCATAAACAGTCCTTGCGATATTAAAATGGAAAAAAATGATATTGCAATAGTTTAAAAAAAAAACCACAGACACTCTCACTTGTTTTCTGGTAATATTTTCCTTCAACAATTATGTAACTCCTTAAAAAAAAAAAGGATGTTTTGTAATTTCATAGCAGACATCCAGTTTTTCAAATTCCTACAAAAACACTTCTAACAACATTCAGTGTGGTTTAATAACTTTGATTCGCTATGCCTCATCCTATATAATCATACCCAAGTATGAAGACATCTTTGCTCATCTGCCTTGACTTTAGGCAATTTCTAAGACATGCTTTTGTAGGAAAATATTTAGTTTACTTTGAGAGGTGATCATTAAAAGACCAAGTACACTGATTTCGAATTACAAGCTATCTCCTATGTTGGGCACACAAGAGAAATCCCTTGGTGAAAATGTGCACTGCTGTGGTTGTCAAAGAAGGAAGAGTGTTTTGGGGAAGCCAAGTTATTTTTGTTTCAGGTGGGAAGAGGCCACCAGGTATTTATGAATTTGTCCTAATGTAATGCTTGAAGATAACTACATGAGCACCATGATTACCCAGTGATGTTCTCCTCACTTTTCCATGCGGATTTGATTATTTTCACTAAATCCTGTGAGGTACACGCATCACTTTTAGTTTCACATAGGAGAGATTTCAACTTTTAAAATTTAGAAACTAGTTGTCTCGATAGTCTAAAACTTAGTAAAACAAACATTAGCTTTCTTACAGTGTCAAAATCATTTGTTATATGGCTATTTTGTCATCCTTTAAGTTTAATGTATGAGAAATAAACATTAAGACCATAATTTCAAAGATTTAGTATCATTTCAACAAAAGACAACTATAAGCTATAAAAACTTACATAAAACTCATTAAATGTCCAGTTTATGGTTTGCTGACTATTTAAAAAGACAAATAAAAAAGGCTAAGGAATGTTTAAATGTAGCGTAGTTTGGCAATTGGCATGAAGGAACACTGAGCTAGAGAGAATAGATGGGGTCGAGAGAGAGAAAGGGAGAATGAGGGAACTGGTGACACTGATCAAAGATGTGCTAATAAACCGATACCTTGAATCGAAACCCCGTTATACAGCGATTTAAAGGTCATTGAAAACCCATTCAGCTGAGCACATGGTACAAACCTATCATCGTAGTTATTCGGGAGACTGAGGGAGGAGGATCAAAAGTTGGAGGCCAGCAAAGACAACATAGTGAGACCCCCGATCTCAAAATACACAATCATTATTTAGCCTCTCCTTTCATCATTACTAAAATTAATAAACAAGTAAAAATAAATCAAGTTACATAAAAGACAAAATTACTTTTCTGGATTAAATATCTTACCTGCTACCCTCATGTTTGGTTTCTTAGTTTATGGCACTTTTCATTAAAGAATCTCCTAAAATCAAAAGAAAAAGACAAATACTTTTAGTTGTTTTTTGTTGTTGCTGTTTTGTTTTTGGTCAGTCATGGGGCTTGATCTCTGGGCCTGGGTGCTGTCCCTCAGCTCTTCAGCTCAAGGCTTGCGTTACAGCACCACTTCCGGTTTTCTGGTGGTTTATTGGTGATAAGAGTTTCACGGACTTTCCTGCCTGGGCTGGCTTTGAACCATGATCCTCAGATCTCAGCCTCCTGAGTAATTAGGATTACAGGTATGAACCACAGGCACACTTTTATTAGTTTTAGAATGAATATTCCACATCAGATTGGGTTTGGAGTGTATATGTAAAATTAATTAAGCAAATGTCATGACATTTCTAAGTATTTTGCCAATATGACATTTAATTTAAAAAACAAACAGGGCTGGGAATGTGGCTTAGCAGAAGAGTGCTTGCCTAGCATGTATGAAGCCCTGGGTTTGACTCCTCAGTACCACATAAACAGAAAAAGCAGGAAGTGGCACTGTGGCTCAAGTGGTATAGTGCTAGCCTTGTGCAAAAGAAGCTCAGGGACAGTATCCAGGTCCTGAGTTCAAGCCCCAAAACTGTCAACCCCCCCACACAAAACAAACAAACAAACAATAACAACAAAAACCAAGCATCACTGCCCATCTCCTTCCACTAGGCCTCAAAACCGCAAAAGAGAAGCCTGGATCTTACTCCACAGCTCCCAAGTGGGAAAAGAAATGAGAAAACTTGCTATCGAGCCAGTGGCTAGAAGATACACAGATTTTTCTTGGTGATTATAAGGCATTGTGGACACTTAGTAAATCTGAGAAGTATATCGTTGAATATGACTATTTCCCACCCAGAGAAACTGAATAGTGAGGTCAGATCCGAAGAGATTTCTCTTTATCTAGTCATGGAAGGGATTATCTGTAGAAATGGCCTCCAAAACTTTAGGTTGGCAGGCTCTTGCAATTATGTGACACCACTTCATTTTTTTTTTTTTTTAGTTAGTCGTGAGGCTTGAACTCTGGGCTTGAGCATTGTCCCTGCACTCTTCAGCTCAAGGAGAGTGCTCTACCACTTGAACCACAGCGCCACTTCCGGTTTTCTAGTGGTTTATTGGAGATAAGAGTCTCAAGGAGTTTCCTGCCTGGGCTGGCTATGAATTATGATCCTCAGATCTCAGCCTCCTGAGTAGCTAGGATTACAAGCATGAGCCACCAGCACCCGGCAATTTTTTATAACATACTTCAGCGATCACTACAATAAAGATCCATAGGCTTATTTTGTACCAATTTTCTCTCATGTTTTTCAATGTGCATTTGCAAAATAATATATCCACAAGTACAGAATTGCAATTTTAAATATTTCAGCAAATAACTTATTGATTGAATGATGCCAAAGATCAAAAGAAGAAAATGTTCTTTGATATTATTTTATCCCACACAATGGGGAAAACACCTATATGTATAGGAGCATTTCCCTCTTAAGAAATAACTCAAGATCGGTGACTTTTTATCGTATAATGGTAAGTCCATGCGTCTGGTAGTAACTCCACATCCAAGGTTACCTAGCCATCTTCCACATCAACTCAGCCTCCTGCAAAGGAACAGAACTCAAAGGGAGGTGCTGTTTAATGGCTACATTAATCAGAAGAATGTTATCCCTCTACTTCAAATTGTATTTTGATATTTATGGATCAATGCTGATATCCAACCTCATTAAGTTTTAAAAAGCTGCAAATCAAAAACAATGGTTCATACTCAAAGAACAATGAAAAAGAAATAAAATGTTCAGTTTTCTTCGTCACTGAAAAAAGCCAGGGGAAAGAGGAGCAGTATAGACAGCACTCAAAGGTGCAATGCTCATATTCTGGCTCTTTTTCTTCTACACAATCATTTTTTCCCCCTACACAATCTACCCTGAAGGAAAAAAAAAATCAACACTTAACTGAGTCATTCTTTACTGATTTCTTTCCCTTTCATAGCTATCTGAACATCTTTCACATAATAGCAAAAGTCAATGTCATATATCTATTTAAACTACTTAGCCACAGGCTAGGAAAATACTGAAAGGAAACGAGAGATACTCAAGTCTCCCCAAACCATCACATAAAAGCAGAAGAAGTGGGGGGAAAAAATTCTTGGCTTTCAAATGAAAACCCCACCAGGTTATATAAATCCTTCTTTGACTCCCAGTGAAATTGAACTCTGCTTTTACCATACACATGTCTCTCCTCCCAGCTGATATTCTATAATAACTTCATGTGTGATCTGTGTGTGGCCTAGGAAAATTTCTTTGAAAATGTGGAAGCAGCTGGCCACCAGCCACCTGCTGATCTACTTCAGTCTCCGTTGAGAATGTACCTGTGTGATTACACACTACCTCCTCACCCACCTGCCACCTCCTTGTACCGCCCAACAAGTTGATTTCTGTACTCATCACTAAGGCCACAGTGCCAGCCAACAGAATCGCACGGCTAAGTCTGACTCCCACAAATATTTCTTAAGCGATTAAGAGAATTAATATTTTATAATTTCCAAAGTAAAATCTTACCAAATGAAAATAGAAGAGACCCAGAGTAATGAATATAAATAGTAACAAGACAGAAGGCCTTTTGCTAAAAATTGAAAATCTTCATCTGGTATCAGTAGCACATGACTGTTATCCCAGCTATTCTAAAGGTTGCATTCTGAGGATTGGGATTCAAAGCCAGCCAGGGCAGGAAAGTCCATGAGACACTTATCACCAATTAATCACCAAAAAGCTGGAGGTGTAGCTTTGGTTCAAATTGTAAGGTACCAACCTTGAACAACAAAAAAAAAAAACCAAAAACCAAAACAAAACAAAGAGCCCAGGCCCTGAGTACAAGCCCCAGTACCAGAACAGAGTACTGAGATTAGAGCCAGTTACCTACATCAGAACATTCATGGTAGGAATACTAGGACAGATTAAAAATACATTAAAACAAAACACACACAAAAAAATCCCTCAGTACATTTATGCAATGTATTTGCTCCAAAAAGTATGCTGAACTTAAGGGGTGTCATCAGCAGCAATGAGGGCCAATGTGGTGCCCTCGGCGCAAGGAAATACTGACCTGTGTAAACACTAAGTGTGAAGCTGAGACTTAAGGAGGAGCCTCAACCAGGGTCCTGCTGGGAGACCTATACCTATAAATGTTTCCTAACTTAACCATTTCCTATAGCCCACCTAGTTTGGTGCAACTGAGTTGTTTTGTTAGTCAAGCACAAATTGGGCAGTTATGTTAACAAGAAAGAATGGTCTCCAAATGTACGATACTTTAAGGAACAAGAGATAAAAATCACAGGTCAAGAGGGTACTTCCACCCTCCTTAAAGATTCTAAATTACACCAGCATCCTTTATCAGCAAATACACCCTAAAACAATTAAATGGGAGAGACCTGTCTCACCAGAACAGACGCAATGCACATGCACACATGTGCACATATGTATGTGTATGTATGTATACACACACAGTTATTTTATGTAATCTTCCAGCCCGCCCTCTAGGTATAGTAGGTATTAGGGGTAGCATTATAGCTGAGGTCAGGGGATTTGTCTAAGGTCCCATGAAGGGGGAGGGAAGGCCCACAAATCCACCTCTTTTTCAGTCCGGCTGCTCACTGACATACTAATATTAAAGGGATGTGTTGACAAAATGCCATGTTTGGCTTTTGCAAATTGTACTGGGAAGTGCTAATCTCTGCTGTAACTAGCTACTCCAAAGGTTTGACAGTGTGTCAGAATAACTAAGCTTGTATATCTGAACCCTCCAACCTCAAGACAAAAATTATACAAGATGCAGCAAACACTCATTGATATAGTTAAATTTTTTTAAAAAACCTAAACTAGAAGAAAATGGAGTATACAAGTTATATTCCACAAATAGGGAGAAATTATAATTTAACTCCACTCAACTTTAATTCCGTGTTGGCAAATTACAACTTTAAAATAAAACAGACTAAATTCAGATAATATAAGTCAATTGATGGGGCTTTTCAAGGCAAAACAAAAACACCAAAACCCATACATAGAGTATATTTAGGCCCAATGATGGTAACTTTAAAATAATTGGGCCACAGGTTGTCCACCATATATTTAAACACTTTTCCAGTGTGTCTGGAAGAGTGTGGATAATAAGCATCTGAATTGCCTTCCTCAATCCATGGGACACACACACACACACACACACACACACACACACACACAGACACACGTACACTTGTGGTCTGGCTGACAACTCCCCCGCCAAGGCAGATCACAAAATGTAAAAATACCCATTCTCACTGCAGGTCACAGAAACCTTCATCTTTTCTTGTCTTATAGCTTGCCATTAAAAAAATCACTTACAAAAAACTTGCCAGCCTTGATTGACATTAGGCATTAAGACCTTCCTCAGCCCAAGGGCTCCTGACCTATGTAGAGGACTGCTACAGGACAAGACTGGCGAGTCTGCCCACTAGCTCCAGTATCATTCAAATCATCCCCTTCCTGTTCAAGCACAACGTCACCAACGTCCGTCACAGAGCTGTGGATACCTGAATCATGCCTATGCAATGAAGTCTCCATAAAAACACCAGAGGACAAGGGTTGGATGACCAGAGTTTGTGGAGAGGGCGTGGAAGCTCTCCACAACTCCCCACCTCCCCCCCAGCCCTATGCATCTCTTCACCTGTGCCTTTGTGATGCCATTTCTAACACACGTGGAACCTATGCATCTCCATGGCCTGTGAGCCACTGAAATTAGCTGAGCCAGTGGGGAGGGTTTTAAAGACTCTACACCTAGCTCAGCTGAAGTAGAGGTAAAACAACCTGGAGCAATTAAGATTGGGGGCCATCAAAATCGATGCTATCTCTAGGTAGGTAGAGTCAGAGATGAACTGCATTAGAGGACACCCTGCAGGTCCTGCTGCAGAACTGATTTTTTTTGTTTTCTGGTGGAAAGTACTTCCCACACATTTGGAGGTCAGTCTTTTGTACAGATGGT